TACTTATGTTACTAATGGAATCAGACAAGAAGTAATTCATTTTAGGTATGCTTAAATATCTCTGTAATTTTTTTTTGTCATCAGTCATGAGGCTTGAACTTAGGGCCTGGTTGCTGTCTCTGAGCTCTTTTTGCTCAAGGCTAGCCCTAAACCAGACTGAGCCACAGGGCCACTTTGGGGTTTTGAGGGATTAATTAGAGGTAAGAGTCTCATGGACTTTCCTTCCCAGGCTAGCTTCAAATCGTGATCCTCAGATCTCAGCCTCCTGAGTAGCGAGAATTACAGACATGAGCCACCACCACACCTGGCTGTACCTGTAATTTTAAAGTCTCTAAAATACCAATCTCATCAAGTCATCTTCTTTGTTTTTGTGATCAAATCATATCCATTATAAGCCACAACTTAAAGGAATTGCTTTGAAGAATACTTGATACTCATGGTTATATTCTTATTCAAGTTTCAGTGTGTGTGTGTGTGCGTGCGCGCGTGTGCGTGTGCATGTGTGTGTGTCTCCATGAGCATGTACAAGTACTAGAAGTTCAGCAGAGCACCTCTGCTTTTTCCACTCATGACTGGCATACTACTTGAGCCACATCTCCACCTCAGACCTTTGCTGGTTAATTGGAGATATAAGTCTTGAGAATTTGTCTGCTCAGACTGGCTCCAAACAGAGATCCTCAGATTTCAGACTCTTGAGAAGCTATGATTATAGATGTGAACCTCAGGCATCAGGCCTAAGTTTGTATTTCCACATATTAGTTTTTGCTAAAAGATCCCTTTGCACAGATCCTAAATGATGACAAGCCATATTTAGCCTAAATTACCATATTTTTGCATATGTTCGATGACTCTGTAAGTTACTATCATTCATTAGTATAGCTTATCCAAAGCAAATGTGGAACATGGTTTAATTTTAACAAGCATAGATTACTAAAACTTAGTTATAAATTTCAACACCAACTAGTATACAATGAGCTCCACATCCCACTCATAACCATAAGTTACTCTAAGGATCATGCCAAACATAGTCTGCCCCCTATTTAAAATCACCACTCCTGTTTCTACTATAGTTTAGCTCCAAGCATATTGGCAAAATGCTATTTTCCTCTTTTTTTTTCTTGAAATGTTCACATAATGCTATAGCAATTTAAAATGTTTAATGGGATGAGTAGACGTTTATTTTACCTTACCATATTTAATGGAGTAAGTATATCTTAACAGTCTCACCACAACAGAGTAGGCATTTAATAATCTTACCTTCTTTTTTTTTTAATTACTTGAGAAATAGATGCAATTATAAAAGAATTAGGAATCTTCATGGTGACACAACAACTTTGGTATTTTGATATTCACCCTCAATGACCTAGTTGTAATAGTGTACTATAGTTTAACAAAACGTTACTACCCCAGGAAACTGGGTAAAGAGTACACAGGATCTGTGTACTATTTCTTATAATACACCATGAATCTAAAACTATTTCAAAACGTTTAACTTAGAAGAAAACATACTGAAGAATAGTTCAGTAAGATTTAATCTCAACGTTTTCAAAAAGCTTTCCTGTTCACCTGAAAATGTCCACTTCAAATGAACAATAACTGAAAAAAAGATAAACTGTAACACTTTTCTGGTTTTTATTTAGGTATCTATTTACTTTTTGGAGGCAGGGTCTTGCTATGTAGTCCAGGTTGACTTCACTCAATCCTCCTGCCTCAGCCTCTCAAGTACTAGAACTATAAGAATGCATCATAAGGGGCTGGGACGATGGCTCAGTGGTAGAGCACTTGCCTTGCGTGCATGAGGCCCTGGGTTCCATTCCTCAGCATCACATAAGCAAAAAGAAAAAAGCCAGAAGTGGCGCTGTGGATCAAGTGGTTGAGCGCTAGCCTTGAGCTGAAGACTGAGGGACAGTGCCCAGGCCCAGAGTTCAGGCCCCACACAACCAGACTCAAAAAAAAAAAAAAAAAAGAAGAAGAAGAATGCATCATAACACCCAAACCATTGTATTCCTTTCTAAAGTTACTAGAAAAGGTATCTTAAAGTTACTTACAAAAATCTTAAGCAAGAATAAATCTCAAAGGGTTAAAAAAGTCATATTTGAAGGAGTTAAAGTCCAACTTTACCTCTCAATTAAAACAACTTTCCTGATAGAAACACCAGACAGATATATTCTTCAATAGATACAGATGGCTTTCAAAACAATAACACTCCCTTGCAATATCCTTTCATACTTGGAACAAAAACTAACAAAGGAAAATTTCAGACATCATACAAATACTTAATCTACTCAAATTTAAAGACAAAATCACAACTGAGATCTTCATACTCAAACCCTGAAACTAGGGAATAGAGATTTAAACACCTGAATCACTTATATTTTGTCAATCTTTACAAGTCTTATTTCTATACACTGACCAACAGGAACACATCTCTCAAAGTCACTATACAAACTACCATGCCAAGTGCACAATTACAGCAATTAACACCTTGATGAAGAAATAACATAACAAACTCAAGAAGAAGAATTAGTACTAAATATACATTCATCTTTTACATAGTGACTTTTGATGAACTATCAGGCTATTATTACAAAGGTCGTTTTGCTTCAGAAACAAAAATCACAAATTATAACATTGTCTGTTTTCAGCCCCCTTCAAAAAAATCTAAAAGCACTGCATTGCATTCTATTTATACATAAGTTGGATTGCAGTTCAAATACAATTCACTGTACAGTTAATTCACCCTCTAGTCAAAAATAAAAGACATTGAAGAGGAAATGATAATGCACATTACAAACTACAGCTTGCTTCGGCAAAAGGCATGAGGTTTTACAAATGTTACTCCAAAGACAAAAACCTCTAATCTTTACAAGCTCCAGCAATTCAAAAGGAAAAAAAGATCTTTAGCTCCTTATATGCTTCAAATAAACAGGCATTAGGATGTTAATCTTAATATCCTCTGAAATCAGGGCTGATTATTCAAATGTCAATAAAGTATATAGAGTATATAAATATTACTACATCAATTACTTTTAACATTCCCTTTAAGATAAGAAAAGGCTAAAAGGAAGTGATATAGGCCAGTATATTTTAATATAGACTAATGACATGTCCCTTTCTCAAAATCTAAATCTTCTTGCTAACTATTGGAGGTCATGGCTTTTATTATTACAATTTTTTTCTGGGATTCGAAACAAACCACACAAGTAATTATTGCTGTCTCCACTGAATACAGGTATTTAAATTCAAACTTTCAATAGATAAATAACAAATCCAACTAAAACTAAAAACTTCCTACTCCAAAAAAAAAAAAATCAAGTATGACCACTTTCACACAGAGAAAGATGAGCCTTCTTCTCGTACAACATAACCTTAGAAGTTAACAAGTCCCATGCTGTGCTGGTATAGTTTAAATATACACTTCTTTATTTCACAGCCCTTTTCCTATGATAAATCACTCTGCTTAATTTTAGAAGCCGAAGTACTCTTAAAATAACAAGTTTCTGCAGTCTATAACCTTGCTATCAATCAATATCCAGTTACATGTATTTTCCACAACTTAAGTTGGGAGGACCAACAGGAAACTATACTATTAGCATTCATCTAAAGAAATATATGTGTACTACACAAAGTAAATGTCAAAGTTTCTGATAATTCATTCTTAGTCACAAAATACTAGTAAAAAAGGAAACACAGCCACCCTCTATATTAAGAATTTTCTTCTCTTTTTCCAAAAGGAACAATTCCCCAGTGATAACCAGCAAAGAGGAAGGTGGCGAGAGAAGAGTGGAGGTTTGACTGGCATTTCTTATCTTTTTGGACAAGGCTAATACTAGCCTTCAGGCTATGTAAAATCCAAAAATGCTTTTATTTCCTTGAAAGGTTAAATGATATGCTATTTTTCCCACAAGCTACAATTCCATAATTTAAAATAAATTTTAGTATTGTTATGATTTTTAAACAGAAACACTTTTTAAATATGAAATGGAACAGGTTGAAATTGATATGGAATTAACCTTATTTTCTGATGTTCTAGTCTCACAGTAGTTTATACTAGAATTTAAAAAAAAGCACTGGTCAAAGAGGAATTAGTTTCAGCTGAAAATTTGACAGCTGGCTTTCTTAAGAGGATGCTACCAGGGCATTTCGCGTCCTCCTCCCCACCCCCATCTCCCATCTCTTTCAACACTAAAGAATAAATTTAAACCAAACAGAAAAATCACAGCTTTTGAACACTAGAATGGACCTGTTTAAGTTATGAGTTTAAAAAACGGCAGAAAGAAAATGAGCTAAATGTTTAGTAATGGAACAGGTACCTTACACCAAAAGTAAACTTCAAGCTTACTGTACTGGTATAGGAATAGGAATCTTAAAAACATGATCCTAACAAAATCCAAATTCAGCACAGAATTCAGTCAACTGGTAGGTGTCATTTAAAATAAATATGTTTCTACTCATTTGGAACATTTAATCTAACATTTTAAATTATGTCATGAAATTCTTAATTTCCTACATACTTCCAAAGGAGAAGCCGCTCTGTACCTTCCTAGTTATTGCTTGATTCAGTTCCACCTATTACAAACACATATCCAACAAGACTCTTTTAGACATTTTGTTAGAAGCCAGAGCTTAATAATACTAATAAGCTAAAAAAAAATTTAAAAAATTAAATATACATTTAAATAAGCATTTTTTATTTTTTAAGAAAAAAGACAGGCAGACCACCCATGGACCACAAAGCATTTTTTTCTGGCACACTTCTAAACGTAGAGGCAAAATAATTTACAATTTAAAAATTCAGAGAGAGCAATGTTAAAGTCCATATTGGAATTCTTATAACAATGAATCTTTAGTACCAATTGCCTGAGTTTGAAGCTTTTCTGTTTATAACTTTAACCTGATACAATTTTTAAAAAGCATTAAGTATTTAAATGCTTTATTCTATACTAATAAAATGTATGAAGCACCAAAATGCAAATTTCTGGATTTAAACAGTGTCTTACCTGATCCACTGAATTGACTGCTCCCCAGTGTTGTTGGTCTGGTTTTCCCACTATTAACAGGTGGAGAAAACATCTGAAAAATAACCCACAGGTAGCTGTCAGTTCTGAAATTCCTCTAGAATCTTCTAAGCAAAAATCCACCAACTGTCACCAGTTACTATATGTCATAAGGAAATTGGAATAAAAAAATCAGATAGATTGAGACCTAGAATGGCAACACTGCATGATACTATTTCCTAACCCTAGTTGGAAAACTGGTTACATTCTGTTCTAAAAACACAGTCACCCGCCTGAAAGATAACAGGACAATTAATTTTTTTAAAAGATACATTTTTGCCCATGATGTTCACTTTGGAAGTGAATCTCATTAATATTTAATACACAGTTACAATTAGATTCAGTTCCAACCAAATTAGTACATAAAGTAAGAATTATAACAGTTCTATAAAGCAGGTATGGGTCTGGCCTTCTAATAGCGATTAATAATAGAATTCTGGCCCATTCAAAAGAAATTCGGGCAGGGCCAAGCCGATCCTGTGGTTCCACCTTGGATTTTTAAGTCACTTCACATGTTTACGCACAGAGTACGTACACTGCACATGAATCTTAAAAGTACTCAGCCAAAAGGCTGGGAAGTCTAGCTCTGGACTGACTTTCTCATAACTGATAGCTTTCAGGTACCACAAACCCTAGGAGTTCTTGGGAGAGGGAAACGGTGAGAAGCCTAGGGAAAACAAAAATACTAATTTCCTTTTCTTTCCCGTCAAATCTAAATATCCTTCCTTAATCGTGCCGGTTTAAGAGTGTGACTCAACCAGAGCGCACGACTGCATTGTTCTTCTTTTAAATGGTTAAATCCAATGACCCCTCTGGCATTAAAGTTTGAAATGTGCAAGTCTAGACATTACATCAAAGTTCAGGTGTCCAACTTGCGGGGACGGGGGGGGGGGGGGAGAGCTGGACTCCAGCCCTAAGAACTACTGCTTTTAAAGCAGATGGGGGTTCACACTGTCTGCTCTCTCCGTCGCTCCCCAACCCTCTCCGACTTGCTAGCCATCAATTTTTTAAAAAAGAAAAGAAGAAAGGAAAAGGAAAAAGAAATCCTCGGCAGAACCCCAAGATGCTGTGGAAAAGCGCCCCTACCGCACTGAAGTCCAGCAAATCGCTCAGCTCCTTGTCGGTCCCTATAGCGGCCATGCGCTGCTGCTGGGGATTCATCTTGGGCCACTTCTAGCAGATTCTGAAGCAGAGAGGAGACACGGGGCTGAGCGGGGGACCACCGAGGCCCCCAGTGTGCTTGGAGGGAGGGGAGGGATGGGGGGTGGATGGAGAGCGGCGTTGAGGGGAGAGGAAGCGC